AAACCAAGCCTTCCGCAGTAAAACCCAGCAACAGGTAGTCCTCCATAGCCCCAGACTCCAGGCCAGTACTTGCAAACCAGGTCTCCTAACCCACCCACTCCAGATTGGCTCCAGACTTCAGGCCCTCCCCAAACCACCCATCAACAGGCTGCCCCCCCCATCCCCCAGAGTCAGGCTCCAGGCTGATCCCTGCAGCCCCAGGTTCCAGTAAGGTACTGCAGACTCAGTCTGCAGGCCAGTGTCTGCAGCCCCAGGCTTTGGGCCCACCCCAGTCCTAGTTCGGCACCCACAGACCAGACCCTGCAGCCGCATTCTCCAGACTGGTCCACATGGCCCCATAATTCAGGCCTGCCGTATTGCCAGGTAAGTACCTGTGGCCTCAGACACAAGACCTGCTCCCACAGACACAGGCTCCAGGACTGCCCTAGGAACTCACACACCAAGCCAGTCACTTTGGCCCCACACTCCAGCAGACCCAGAGTCCAGACCTCCTCCAGCAGGCCCAGGGTCCAAGCCCAACCCAAAAGAAGCCAGCAGTGAGCGGGGTCCTATGGCTATAGGACCCAGGCCCACCCCAGTGGCCCCAAGCTCCAGGCAGGATCTCATGGACCTACCTGCAGGCTAGCATCCAGGCCAGTATCCACACACCCAAACTCCAAGCCTTCCCAGCTCAAGACCAAACCCAGGTTCCAGGCCAGTTACTATCCAGGATCCAGTGGACCCAAGGTCCAGGCCTACTCTAGCAAAACAAGGCTCCAGGACCAACCCTGCAGACCCAGGCTCCAGGCTGGCCATGGTGAATCCAGGACCCAGCCTCGACCCACAGACTCAAACTCCAGGCTGGTTAGCTCAGTTGGTTAGCGTGTGGTACTGATCATACCAAGGTCTGGGATTCAATCCCTGTACTGGTCAGCACAAAATCAAAAAAAAAAATTTTTTTAATAAAATAAAATAAAAACATACAAAAGAAAACTCACTGGTAAAAGTAAGTACACAGTCAAATTCAGAATACTCTAATACTGTAAAGGTAGCGTGCAAATCACTTATATTTTTAGTATGAAGGTTAAAAGATAAAACTACTTCAAATAATCATAGCTACAATAATTTGTTAAGGAATACACAATAGAAAAAGATGTAAATTATGACATCAAAAATATAAGACATGGGGATGAAAGTAAAAGTACAGAGTTTTCATACATAATCAAAGTTAAGTTGTTATCATGGTAAAACCTCATGGTAACCACAAAGCAAAAATCTATAATACACACGCAAAAGATAAGTAAGAAATCAAAGTATACCACTATAGAAAACCATCTAATCACAGAGGAAGACAGCAAGAGAGGAAGAAGACACAGTATCTAAAAATCAACCAGCAAACAATTAACAAATGGCAATAATAAGTCCTCATCAATCAATAATTATCTTGAATATAAATGAATCAATTCTCCAATCAAAAGACATAAAGCAACTGAATGGATAAAACATCAAGACCCAACTATACGTTACCTACAAGAGCCTCACTTCACCTTTAAGAACACATATAGACTCGAAGTGAAGGGATGGAAAAAAAATATTCCATGTAAATGGAAACCAAAAGACAACAGTCATAGCTATACTTAGATAAAACAGAATAAACAGCAAAAAAGAAACAAAGAAGGACATTATATAATTATAAAGGAGTTCAGTTCATTAATAGGATATCTCAATTGTAAATATACATGTATGCAACACCATAGCACCTAAATATATAAAAGCAAACATTAATATATCTGAAGGAAAAGACAGCTACAACACAGTAATAGTAGAGGACTTCAGTACTCCACTTTCAGCAATGGACTGATCATCCATACGGAAAATCAATAAGGAAACAGCATATCTGAACTACACTCTAGACTAATGGACCTAACAGATATATACAGAACATTCCATCCAATAGCAGAATACCCACTTTTCTCAGCACACGTGTAACATTCTCCAGGATAGATCATATGTTAGGCCACAAAGCAAGTCTTAGTAAATTTAAGAAGACTGAAATCATATCAAATATCTTTTCTGACCACAATGGTATGAAACCAGAAATAAATAACAGGAGGAATTTTGTAAAATTCACAAATACGTGGAAATTAAACAACATGCTCTTGAACAACCAATAGATCAAAGAAGAAATTTAAAAGGGAAATTAAAAAATATATTGAGACAAATGAAAATGGACCCACAACATACCAAAACTTATGGGATGCTGCAAAAAACAGTTCTAAGAGAGAAGTTTACAGCAATTAATGCCTAAATCAAAGAAGATCTTAAATAAACAACCTAATATTAAACCTCAAGAACTAGAAAAAGAACAAAGTCCAAAGTTAGAAGGCAGAAATAAATTGAGACTAGAAAAATAGAACAGAAAAAAAAAATTGACAAAACTAAACTAAGATATGGTTTTTTGAAAAAAATCAACAAAATGAACAAACCTTTACCCAGACTAAGAAAAAAAGAAGACTCTAATAAATAAAATTATTATAACTGATATCACAGAACTACAAAAGATCATAAGACTATTGTGAACAATTACATGCCAACAAATTGGATAACCTAGAAGAAATGGATAAATTCCTGGACACATACAAGCTACCGAAACTGAATCACAAGAAGATATATAGTCTAAACAGACCAACAACGAGTAAGGAGATTAAAGAAGTAATAAAAAGTCTCTCATCAAAGAAAAGCCAAGGACCTGATGGTTTCACTGCTAAATTCTACCAAAGGTTTAAAGGTTTAAAGAAGAATTAATACTAATCTTCAAACTCTTCCAAAAAAAAAAAAACAAAGAAAACACTTCTAAACTCATTTTACAAGGCCAGCATTATCTTGATATCAAAGACGGAGACACTACAGGAAAATTAAACTACAGGTCAATATCCCTGAGTAACATAGATGCAAAAATCCTCAACAAAATACTAGCAAACCAAATTCAACAGCAAACTAAAAGGATCATTCTCCATGATCGAGTATGACTTCTCCCAAGGATACAAGGATGGTTCAACATAGGCAAATCAATAAATGTGATATGCCATGTTGACAGAATGAAGGATAAAAACTATATGATCATCTCATTAGATGCAGAAAATGCTTATGGCAAAATTCATCCTTTCATGATAAAAACTCAACAAATTAGCTATAGAAGGAATATACCTCAACCCAATAAAGATCAGACACAGGGTACTTCAACAAGTTCATGGAAAAAATGGGATTAAAAGATAATACAAATCTTTCCATGAACTTTTTTGAAGAACCCTCATATGACAAGCTCACAGCTAATATCACATTCAACAGTGAAAGCCGAAAGCTTTCCCTGTAAGATCAGAAACAAGACAAGAATGCCTACTCTCGCCACTTCTAAAGGCCTAGACAGAGCTATTGGGCAAGAGAGAAATAAAGGGCATACAAATTGGAAAGGACGAAATAAAATTGTCCTTGTTTGCAGACAACATGATATTTTATACAGACAATCATAAAGACTCCACCAAAAAAATGGTTAGAACTAATAAACAAATTCAGTAAAGTTAGAGGATACAAAACGAACATACAAAAATCAGTAGTGTTTCTATACACGAACAATGAACCATCCCAAAAAGAAATCAAGAAAACAATACCATTTATAATATCTACAAAAAAATAAACTACTTAGAAATAAATTTAACCCAAGGAGGTGAAATCTGTACCCTAACAAATATAAAATATTGATGAAACAAATTGAAGAAGACACAAATAAGGTAATAAATTATTATACACTGCAATAATAGAGTAAAATAATTCACTTGAATAACAGTTTAGATTTGTATTTTTCAAATTGGATATCTTTTTTAAGGCTTTTTAGTATTTTTCTTTTTCTCTCATGTTCAGTTCTCATTCTCTTATTTCTTCTGAACTCATACTTTTGAGATGTGTCCACTTATTAAAAAAAACATGAATAAGAGCTAAAAGACAACCAACCAACAGAGTGGGAGAAAATATTTGCAAAATACACATCCGACAAAGGACTAATATCCAGAATATATAAGGAACTCAAACAACTTTACAAGAAAAAAACAAGCAACCCAATCAAAAAATGGGCAAAAGAGCTAAGCAGGCATTTATCTAAGGAAGATATACAAATGGCCAACAGTCATAGGATTCCATTTTTTATAGCTTAATAGTATTTCATTGTGTACATCTAGCAAAGATTTTAAAAATCTATTTCTTTTTTTTTTTTTTTCTTTTTTTTTTATGGTTTTTTTTTTTTTTTTTGTCAATATACAATGTAGTTAGTTATTGTGTCCCATCATCAAAACC